TCCAATTTTTGACAATATAAGTGCTTTTCACTTATGCTAGCAACACCTCCACAGAATGAGTAGCTGGACCATTTAAAAAACATCCTTTATGTGGTTCTGATACATATTCCTACCTCTTGTATTCATTGCCAGTACTGCCTTATACCTCTGATTCAGTTTCCCTTTTCATTATTATACTTGCGATTATAAAGCAGTGACAGGCATATCTCCAAATACTCAGAGGTCAACTTCGATTCAAATAAGCATCCAAAAGTGTAGATATTCATCTGAAGAGAACCACGTACACATTTAAAGCAGTTTCTGCAACCTATTCTCCTTAATGTTACCATATTTTTGATGGTAGAAACAAATTTCAGGACTTAAAACTAAACTGCAGAGGTTTATGTATTTTAGGACATAGCAGCCAAAGCAGAAACTTAAAATCCAGGCCACCTTGCATAGAAAATGTGATGAGAGGTTTTTTTCTCTTCCTTTCTTGCACTCGTTCATGGACTAAACTATTCTGGGAATCTGTTGAAGTCTTCCTACTGATTTGAAACTAGAAGAAGCAAAGCTAACCAAATTGTTTTATTACCATAAGGCAGAAGGAATAGATAAAATAGCATATATAAAAAGAAATTGTCAAGTCTTGAAAACTAATGAAGAGTATTTTAAATTGCCTGAAATACTGAATAAATCTCCTCCAGAACAAAACATAGAAAAAGTTTTAGATTTTTTTTTCCTTATCATAAATGACAAGGAAAACAACAAATAGAGAAATATGTAAACAAAAAAAATTTCTTCAGTAGAAAGCATGCCAATAGTCTTATTTAGGCCAGATAAACAAAAAAAAAATATATTGGAAGTCTTGCAGGAAACGGACTTTGAAATCAATAGGTAACTTTAAAGATGTTTCTTATAGAGTATTGATTTTGGTATATGTTTGGTAGATGCTCTGCTGCTAGCATAAATGTATAAACTGTAGTCTTCATATGTATTTCCTCTGAAATTAATTCTTAAATATTTGTGAAGTTTATATATATTGCACCAAGCTGTTTATGGTATGTAAGCATTTCTTTTAGAAAAGTTATTAGGGCCAGATCTTATACACAGCCAATATGTACAATGTGCTGTCAGCCAGAGTATAAAGGAAAAAGATTTTTAAACAGCCTTTTTTCACTGCCATGTTGCTAATAATCATCTGAGTGTGACCATATCCTTTGTAGAAGCAGTCTGCCTTGAGGGGTCTGCCAACCTATACTGTTCTCTGGTAGTGATCTGAAGCAGAAAGTTCAACACAGACTGATGTGGCAAAGCAAAGAGGGATCAGTGTTCAGCCCCTCTTGTAGTTATATTAGTTCAGGAACAGAAAGCAGTTTCTAAACCCAAGGACATCAGCTCTTGCCACATCAGTGTTCTCTAACTCAGCTTAAAAGGGTGTAGAATGAGGTGACAGAGGCAGAACTGCGCAGGTGCAGCATTCACTGTGTCTGTCACTTCGGTATCGCTACTTTCCTTCATCACTGCTTTTGCTTGAAGTCACTGACTCCTCTCCCATATGGAAACTCATTCTTTCACCAGCGTATATTGCTTTCATATCCATTCTTTAGCCTACTTCATCCACTTCATAAACATGTGTAACTTCAAACACTCAGCTCTCTTGCCCTCTTTAAAAAGGTGCCAAATTCTATAAATAGGAAGAAGAAAATAGGATGGTATAAATGTAAGCAGGGCAATGTTCCCGGGGATTTTGGCTCAAACATCCAGTCAAGGTGTATTGGCTTAACAAACTGCTATCAGCTGAACTATATGCTTCTCTAACCATGTCTGCTGTAAGGTGATACAGTTTATCATACATTTGAGCACAAGAGGATGCCTTGCATGACCTCACACTGACAGTTACAGTAGCCCAGTTGACGTGCCGTATGCTGTTTTATTGCTCTAAGTCAGGAGTAGGGCAGAGCCTTCTGACAGTGAAATGTCGAAGGTTTGAAAGGAAAATTTTAGCACAACCTCTCATGAAATCTCTTAAAAATTAGTAATGGGTGTTGTGGTTTAACCTAGCTGGCAGCTGAACTCCACACAGCCTCCGGCTCACTCCCCCGCCCTCAGTGGGATGGGGAGAGAGTTGGGAAAAAAAAGTAAAATCTATGGGTTGAGATAAAGACAGTTTAATAAAACAGCTGTGGAAAAGAATAGTAGTAGTAGTAGTAGTAATAATAATAATAATAATAATGGTAAGAGAATATATAAAATCAAGTGATGCACAATGCAATTGCTTACCACCCACTGACTGATGCCCAGCCTGTCCTGAGCAGCAATCAATCTCCCCCCCGCCAGCTCCCCCTGAACATGACGTCCTATGGCCAGTTGGGGTCAGCTGCCCTGGCTGTGCCCCCTCCCAGCTTCTTGTGCACCTGGCAGAGCAGGGGAAGCTGAAAAGTCCTTGACTGGTGTAAGCACTGCTCAGCAACAACTAAACCATCAGTGTGTTACCAACATTCTTCTCATGCTGAATCCAAACTGGAGCACTATACCAGCGACTAGGAAGAAAATCAACTCTATCCCAGCCAAAACCAGAACAATGGGAACAAAAGCTAACATCAGCCTGCACCCCCACATCTCATCCACACACACACATGCACACCATCTAAGCCCTTCAAAGGTAAGGGATGGCAGGGGTATAGGCTAGACTGATGATCTCCCTCCAACTAGAATAATTTCACTGGGGCCACAGGGATGAAAAATGTTGGTGTGCACAGTAATTTAAATGAAAGCATCTATACAGAACATCTTCCCTACGTTCCAGGTCTGGATAAGGATGCAGGAGCTCATATCTTTATTTGATTCAGTTTAGCGGATGCTTTGAAGTGGGCAGGGGAGAGAAGAAAAAAAGGAATAGTCAGCAGACAAAAATGAAACATAATGAAATAATTATATTCCAGTCTTTGTTCTCAAGGACTACTCTTGAGCTTAACTAATGAAACTGAACTACATTCTTCTCCTTTACATGGTTGTTAATGCTGTTCTCAGGTAGGAGAGGGAAGGAGGTAGTATAACTGAAGATTTAATTTTGAATTGTATCATAAACCAGCTTTCATAAAGCCCAACAACAGTAAAGTGGTTCATTACTTTTTAGATTGTCTGATGTAAATAGGATCCCTGAGTGTGTGTGATCAATCTTTCCAAGGGTCAAAATATTTTGCTGTTCCCAAGCTTGGTTTCCTTGTTCAGACTGAATAAGATCAGCCCACATGCATTTAGAAACTGACTTGAATTTTAATTTTATTCTAATGGCTAATTGTGTCTGCTATGGTTATGTGCCTCTAATTCCCACAAAGAAGCCCCTCAGCTTTTCCAGAAAGACTCTTTAGAGATTTTATAGGTTTATTGACCAAATCAGAAATGTTCAGTCAAGTAAGGCAGAGTTCCTATAATAATCAGTGTATCAGAGTCAGAATTTATCCCACTGCCAGTTATCCAGGGAGGAGGAAAGGCATCTCTGCAAACTTTTCTGCAGACAAAAGGCATTTTATAAGTGGTAGGTGTTTGTAGTCTAGCCCCTTTTATTTGCCTGTAGTTATCTACAGCCCGCTTTGTTCAACTTCGATTGTCACTTGCTGCTTAGCTCACAACTCCATGGAAAGAGGATTCATCTTGTCTGTAAAGCAGAAGTTATGAGGAGAGGAACAGGGAAATGTAACTATTTTACATTCTCTTTATTTTAATGTCATAAAATTTTATGTATGATATGAGAGGGAATTTTTCAGTGGTACTGAAAACGTAACTCCTTTCATGATCCATTTATTTGATTTGTCTGTCCTTGTCAATCAGTTTCTATCTCATCCTGTTTAAAAAAAGATACCTAAATATTAGAACAAGGCTGTATGATATCTTCCGACCAGAGCTTCCACTGACCTCAGTGTGAGTTCAGTGCATGGACCTCTTCATTTATTCTTCTTACTTAGTTTAAAAAGAATAAAAACAATAAAGTCAGAAGCACTTTCAAAGTTATGTCTGAGTTTGCTACTGGTGTCCAAGGGAAAACAAGTTCCAAAGTTTGAATGTTGAGCATGGAGCAGAAGTAACAGAACAGTTTGTCAGTGGAGAACATTATATAGAGTTATTTAAAGGTTGTCCTCGACCTTTCCACCTCTTTTAAAGCCTCTTGAGAGCAATTTAAACTTTTCTTCTGCCAGTTGCCTACTGTCAGTTCCATATTTATGTTTGTTCTTTCCATGCTATGGATGTAAGGGATCAGAGCACATATGGGGAGATCTTCCAAATCCTCTTTAAAACTCTTGCCTGAGAAAGAGCCCTCAGATTCAGCCAGGTCAACCTTGGCAGTTAAAGTTCACAGCAAGACTTTTGTTTCCTTGATCTCCTGTCAAGCCAGCTTTTTACAGACAGTGGATTGAAATCTGACCTGAATGAAGACAATGGAAGTTTTATTATTGACACTGATGAGTCCAAGATCTTAAATACTTTTTCTATATGAATTTTCTTCTGAGATACAAACATGCATGCATATAACCAATACCTATCTAAATCGCCATAGATATCTAATACTGGTAAATTACATGTCATAAGGCTAAATTTTTAAATTGTTTGTAAGCAAATTTCTCATATCAAAAATGTTATACCAACACGACTTCCATCTATTTATGAAGTGTTGTAAAGAGTGCTATTTTCAACACAGCCTTCAGGGAAAAATGTTTAAATACTGCAGGTGCTTATATCTTCAGACTTTTTCACTGCTCAAACGTCTTTTGAATAATGCCCAAAAAAGTAGCATAGATAGGTACTACCACAAAGACACTGCTAAATTTTAGGAAATTCACTGATTGTATATTGAAGAATCCTACGGAATTCCTGACCTCTAACCATAAACATAAAATACAGAAGTGGAGCAAGAAGTAAACTACTAGAAGAAGTTGCATCTTTGATCTCTCTTCTTTTATTCTTAACTTCAGCATCCTCATTTGAAAAAGAACATAAAAGCATAAGTCAGTGTTGTGCTCATGGATCAGGAAAAAGCCCACAAACAGGTTCGTGTAGGCCGTAAGAGCTCACATCTGGCTAATTTGGAGGTTTTATTGTATGTATTTCTGCGCCATAATTGGTGTAATATGTGGAACATCAGTTTTTATTTCATGTCCAAGTGAGGTGTCGTCATTTAATACAAAGATGGAAAGTAAGAGCACAGCTGCTCTGAAGCAATTTGAAAGGAGTTTCACAAATACATCACGGGCAGAATAGCGCCTTATTATTGCAAAATCTGCCTTCGCTAGTTGCTACTGTAACCATCTCTCTCTTGTAGTCTGAGCAGAGTAAATAAATACAGCAATCACTGGTAATAGTTTTGGATATTTGTTGACGTGTTTATGGTACCTGTACCTATCTCTCAGCTATTGTGTTTCGAAATATGCTTCTAGCAATGCAAAGTGCTAACTGAGAAAACTTTTTTCTTTATTCCTTCCTTTGAAGACAAAGACAGGGGTTTGTTTGCTGCAGGATGGTAACCAGGAGCCTTTCAAGGTGCGACTGCACTTAGCCAAAGATATTTTGATGATCCAGGAGCAGGATGTGATCTGTGTGTCTGGTGAGCCTTTCTATTCTGGTGTAAGTAGTTTTTATTTTTTCTTTAAGATGTACTTTATACAAAGCAAAAATACTTTGTGTGTATGTGTGTGTGTGTGAGTGCGTGCACACGCATATGTATGCGCTTAATCTCACAGTTTGATTTTTCATTTTATACTGTTAACACTAAGTGCATTTTAATATATCATCTTTTGAAAATAAATCTTAGCAATACTCATCTAAGAAGCAGCAATAAGATAATGAATAAGTTATATGCATATCGTTTCTCTGCACTCTCCCTTGTCTATTGGAGCCACTGAATGCAATAGGAATGACACAAGGAGTGATTTTTGTGGAGAATACACCACCACAATGTATGTACATATCTGAGTATTGTCTGTAGAGATGATAAGGCAGTTGATGGGTAACTGTTACGGCAGGGCTTTGCTGGTAGGGGAATTATCTGGTATCCTCCTTCGGTTGCTTCATATGGTAGCACAGCACCAGACTTCATGCATGCTGCCAGTCCAATGCTGCAAGGGTCACTAGTTTTACCAGCACGTCATGTTAATAAAGATGGACTTCAGCTGGAACAGTGTAATAGTGTGATTTCTGTATTACTGTTTTTACATGATGTATCAGATTTCTTATTTAAGCATCATATTGAATTTTGTGGGTAAGAAACTGAGCTTTGTAGACAATTATTTGGAAGATCTGTAAAATGTTACATAGAATAATATTGTAGGCTTTGGAATTATTGTAATACTGAGTTTTTATTTAATTATAGAAGATAGCTAAAAATAATAGAAACCATTTACTATTCATTTTTATAGACATTTTTATAGATACTGTAATTATATTTTGTAGAGGTATTTTTAAGTTTTATGGGAAAGTATCATAAACATTCAGCTCTCCCTTTGAGCTTCATGAAATTATCATAGGATTTCACGTTAAATCTTGTGAGGCATAGTAGTGTAATATCTGTTTATGCAAATGTTATGTGACTGCTATTATGTCTGTCTGTTTTATTAATTAATTGCTGCCGCTGCAATAAAAAGATACAAAGCAGAAACCAGAAATAAATTGGTAGAATGTTAATAGTGCGAACAGTGTGGAAGATTAATGGAAAATGTATAGGAGAATCCATCTCACTGTTATGAGCATCTCAAGGTGAATGGTTCTGAGTTTTTCTCCAAAACAAGAGGAACACGCTGCCTACACTGACTCCATACAGGCTGGGTTTAGTTGCACGACAAATCTGACATTAGCTTTTGACAGTTTCATGCTATACAAATCCAATTTACTAATACAGGTCTGTGTGCTTTATATGGAATATAGGTGCTCCCTTTGCAACTCAGACCGTACTGTTCCTCAACATACAGGACATCTAGCAGCGCAGGCAGAAAGAAATTCTGAGTTCAAGCTCAGGCTGTAGTTGCTCAATTACCAACACACACTGTGGCACCGTTACTCCACCAACCCCATTCTGGCATTTATTAAAATATTTTATCACTAAGAAATATGGCTTTCATTATTATGCTGTAATATCTATTACTTCTGCTGAACTTGTTATTTAAATGTCTTCATGAAATGCATGTTTGTTTTTTTTTTTTCAATTTCACAGCAAGGCTTTCTCTTACAGTTTTGCCCTCTTTAGTTTTGCAATGGCACTGTAGAAAATAGTGGATGATTTGCTTCACCAATTACACTCCCCCTATCTTATTTGCCCAATGAATGCATAACTCATTAACTGATCAATATTAGTGTGGTGATGAGGAGTTTCCTTTCTCTTGGAAGTGTCATTGTTAGGCTAGTGACTTAAGCACTTTACACTGATTTCCTCTGGGATTAAGACTTGGTCTTGAATCAGTAGGTTCATTCCATCTCAGGATGACTGGCATTTCACAGACAGTTAACTGTCCTTTTGTCACGGGCCATTTAAGTCACCTGGAACCAGGTGCTTTGATTGTACAGCATGATCAGGCAAGTCCCGCAGGTTTCCTTTCTTTTGCATTTTTTTCCCTCATTTTCATTCCTGATTTATTAGGTTTCCTTTTTGTTTGTTTGTTTGTTTTTCTTACCTTTTACCTTGCTTGGTTGATTTTCTTTTGTTCTTTCCGTCATTCTAAATGACTGACCACACTTATTTTTCTTTTACATTCATTCTACAGAGCAAGAGCAAGCGCAAGTGTTTTCATTAGTGACTGACACTGAATGACTCATAGAATAAACTCTAAAGAATAAAAATAAAATTTTTAACTGAGGAATAATAACTGTTAAATTTTACAGACAAGTAGCTACAGTACAAGTTCTTTTTAATCTGTTTTAATAATCTTCAAATAATTTGATTATAATGTTTTACTTAATCACTTCTGCACTGTGAAGGAACGAAAGGCTATTACTATGTTTCTAGTTAGAACAGTATCTCTTCTGTTTGTTGGGTCTGAAGCTCCTCTGTGTGGGACAGACTTTAAACAGGCACTTAACGTTCCAGCAGTATCCTGATCTGCATCCTGCGGAATAATCTAAATGAAATCAATGGCTCCTTAGGAATGAGGTGCTGCCTAATGTGAGTACATGGGATAAGGACCTAGTTCTTAATTTAAACACTTCCTTTTTGGTGGAAAACAGTTTGACTTTCCCAAAACTCCAGGGGTGCAAAGGAACCTTGTTTCTTCTTTCATTGTATACAATTTGGAGTAAGAAAATAAAATGCATAAAAGATCATAAGCAAACTAAACAGTGTTAAAAACTAAAAAAGAAAGCATCTGTTTCTTTAGTAGGCTGAACAAAATTACAGTGTTTGTGAGGGTCCTGCAGTAATTATACCTGTAACAATTCCATCAAAGAACATTCAAATGATCATGGATTAGATCTAAATTTGAGCATCCGTTGGATTAATAAGTGTTTCAGACATTTCTTTATTCTCTTTTTTGAGAATATTTTGTGAAACTCAAAGCCTAGAAGGCAGCATCTTTACTAATCCAGATTAAATCTGGGCATGTAGAGAGTCTTTACAGTATGGTAAGTGTATGCCTGAGTTGGAGTAGCTTGTGTTCTGAAGATATCCATGAGTCTCTATGTGGGAAAATTGGAAGATAAGACTGGTGAGTGTTAAATCAGGTATGCTTTTTTCTCCCCTAAATTACTGGAGCCTCACAAGAAGGCCAATGTCATCCTGGCTTGTATCAGGAATAGTGTGGCCAGCAGGAGTAGGGAAGTGGTCGTGCCCCTGTACTCGGTGCCGGTGAGGCCGCACCTCGAATACTGTGTTAAGTTTTGGGCCTCTCACTACAAGAAAGATGTTGCATTGCTGGAACATGTCCAGAGGAGAGCAACCAAGCTGGTGAGAGGTCTGGAGCATAAGTCATATGAGGAGTGGCTGAGGGAACTGGGGTTGTTTAGTCTGGAGAAGAAGAGGCTGAGGGGAGACCTTATTGCCCTCTACAACTGCCTGAAAGGAGGCTGTAGTGAGGTGGGGGTCGGCCTCTTCTCCCTGGTAATGGACGATAGGACAAGGGGGAATGGTTTGAAGTTGCACCAGGGCAGGTTTAGGCTAGACATTAAGAAAAACTTCTTCACCGAAAGGGTTGTCAAGCATTGAAATGGGCTGCCCAGGGAGGTGGTTGAGTCCTCATCCCTGGAGGTATTTAAAAGATGGGTGGATGAGGTGCTTAGGGACATGGTTTAGTGGTGGGATGGCAGTGTTAGGTTAAAGGTTGGACTCAATGATCTTAAAGGTCTTTTCCAGCCAAAGTGATTCTATGATTTATGAAAATATTTTTTTGTAATTGTGGTATTGCCAACAGACAGCTTTCTTATAATTATAGTCTTCATAAATCTCCATGGCAATTTATTGTGGTACAGAACAGTTAGGATCTTTACTCTTTTCATCTGAAAAAGAAATGCCCTGAAAACAGCTGTATTAAATCATGTAGGAACTTCATCAGTATTGATGGCAGAAGCACAGATCTTTATTCTATGTTTCCTTTTAAATGTATTTCTTGAATTACATGAAATTATACTCAAAAAAGTTTGCTATATGGTGTTCCAGATGACAATGTGCAGTAAGACAACTCCTGGTCTTTTTAGATGTGTAGGTCAATAGCCTGGACTAATAAGGATGGCCTAATAATGACCTTGCTGAAAATTATGATGGGAGAAGGAATAGCCTAGGATATCACATGTCTGATCTGAAATGTGACTCTTCAGTAGATTTAGTCCTAGGAAAATTTTTAATCTTTGCAATATAAGAATTAAAAAAAATTTTTAGAGTTAATCCTCACACTTTCAATCACTTCATGAACGTCTGAAATTGAAGTAGAAGGATTATTGTGTTTTATCAAGAGAAGTAGTTCATCTGTCTAGGGAGCGGTATTTTTTTCTTCTTCTTTTTTTTTTAATAGATTTTATTTGTTTGCTAATTGTACTCAGAAATTTTTCTAATAGAATACATGTGCGTGTAAGATCCATAAACCAAGGATATGACAATGTACCATCTGACAAGATGGGTGATCTGAATCAGCTACTGTTTTTCTAAGAGACTGAAAATAAACTGTGAGCAGCTGGCAAATTGCTAAGTTCAGCTACCAGGACAGTTTGCATTTTTACATAATTTTCTTAAAGGTTCTGTTAAAGAGTCATAGATTTTCAAGAATACTGCTAACTCACCTGATGATAACATACAGATGATTCTCATTTCCTTCGAGTAATGTAATTCTATGCTGCTGTTTGGCAATGCATAATTTCATTAAACATTAATATTTTTTTTTTAAATTAAGGATCTTTTTGGGAGATTGATGTGAAGATCATAATTTCAATACTAATAAAACGCAAATGCACATTTTGGTGAATTTATAGAGCAACAGCTCTTGGAGTTGTATGGCATTTGTTCAAGGATTTAACTGAGGTAGATATAAATATATACAAATGTAACCTATGGTCTGTAATTGGGTTTTTGGTAGAGAAAAAAACCTTCATCAATAAACACCTTTTCCAAGGTCAGAAAGTAACAGACATAAATTGTTGAACTGTAGCCAGAC